ATTTGTAGCTATAACATTAGCGGTGCCAAACAGCTTTTCCCATTGTTTACATCTTTGCTACAACATACCATTAAGGATAGACACTTTGAACCGCCAACTTATCCAGCAAGTTTTTACGCAGCGGATGCCCTTCCAGCCGCAACCCATCTCTGGAAAACACCCACACACAGTCATTCACGTACAAACACACACACACTACGGACAATTTAGCCAACCCAATTCACCTGTACTGCATGTCTTTGGACTGTGGGGGAAACCAGAGCATCAGGAGGAAACTGCGTTGCCTATGTCATAATCAATTTTAACAAATAAAAACACTTACAGGTTGTGGCTCAGAGTTCACCACTTCTGCTTAGAGCTGCTCCTTCTTTGAGGAGATTTTAACCGAACCCAGCACTGAACTGGGGGAGATTCTGCTGCGCAAAGTGTGTGCGCAGTAAAAGTACGTTTGTGATTTCACAAGGCCCGGAAGTATTTTTTTGTAGTCCCCAAAATTCGTTGATTTAAGGCTTGGCTCATAGATTTATACATTAGATGTTGTTTACCCTGTTGTTGTCTATTGGAAGGAATGCCTCAATAGAGCCGCCATTTTAGTACAGGAAATGAATACAGGACCAAGTTGCAGTGGAAGAATATGGCCATCCAGAGCCAGAGATATAAACAAATATATCTGCAATCGAATTTTTTCCGGAGGTCAGTTTACAATTTTTTTTTTATTACAAATCTTCAAGTTTTTAATTTTACATCACTTTTCTACATTGATGGATAAGTGATCGCATGTGCATTCCTGACAAAAAGCTTGTGTTTGTGTGCATGTAAATGTACTATCCACCTTGCTTAGATTCGATCTAATCTGTGTCCGGAAACACACCTCCTCTCCTGATTTCACTTCTCATACTGACGGAGGGAGCGGTTCGTTTGTGAATAAATCTCCGTTATGAACGACTCGTTCACTTAGCCGACAATAATACAAGTTTCTGGCGCCGCAGCATCTTGTCATATTTCTTTTTCATTGTTTGCTGATTTTAATCAACAAAACTAGCATTAGCCGAGTGTTTTGTGTGAGTTGGTGCTCCCTATGCCTTATGGTGACTGCAGCAAGTTACAGTATTATTATCAATAACAGTAACTGTTTAGCACAAAAGTTCATGACATACAAAAACGTAAAAAAACTAAATCTTACCTATGAAATGTTTTGCCTTTGTGCTTTTTTTTTTTTTTGCTCGTTACTACACCCGTAGACAGTGCTAAAATCCTGCATCTTCACAAAGTAACACTGTCTTGACTAGTGCGGTTGAATGACACTTGTCCTAGGAGCACTGTACAAGTATGGCTGCGCTATTGATGCATGCTCAGAGTCCGTATGCGATATCTATTGTTTATATCTATGGGCTTTGCTAAGCTAACTCTGTAAAAACCAAGGTCTCCCTTTGCATTGAACTTTCAGCATTATACATTCAGAGATGCTGTTTATGTTTACACAGCTACATTACACATCAACTAAAGTTTAAAATATGATATCGTAGTGGACCACCCCTCAAATATATCTGAAACCAATAGAACTGAATGATGCATTTTGGGAACAAAAAATTTTTCAAAATTTTGAGTTTAAGTTTCCAATCAGTGTCTACTGGAAAAAGCATCCCTCCTCTCAGGAGTGGTAAATTACAAGATTAGACATGTTGAAAGGTATAAACACTCATTTCGAAGATTTATGTTTAGATCTGTAATTGCTAATTGCCAACATCTACACTGCAGTGCATGATGTAACATATAATTAGTGTATGTCTATTTGTGTTTATTCATTTGATGGGAGCAAGACCTAATAACAGATTTTTTTTTAATGGTCAAGGTTTAAGGTTAAATCAGAAAGATTTCAACATAATTCTGAAGCCAAATATATGTTTGTCATTAGCTTAGCAATATTTGAAGCATCAATAGGACAATTTTTACTTCTAGGACAATAAAAGGATAACAATTAAGAGCTCTAAAATCATTCTAAATATAACAATTTAGGGCTGGGCAAATTGACCTAAAATCAAAATCTCGATTGATGGAACATTCTAAACTCGATTACGATTAATGAACAATTATTTTGTTTATTTATTAAATTGTTTTGCCATCATAGTTCACTCACAAGGTTTATACACCATCTAAAGGCATCCCTGGTGCAGCTTCCAATTATCGCCAATGTAGTAAGTAAGGCTCAAGAATGAGTTCATCATCTTACTTGACCAGAGATCAGATGTGGCTGCAAAGTGGCCACAGAAGTAGAAATCAGCCACAGCCTTTAACAGAGCAGGATCATGTGACATGTAGGGAAAGTATTGAAAAAATAGTCCTGGAAAAATTTGATCGATTTTAGGTTCTGAATGTCGCTTTCGATTACTTTTTGAATAATTGCCCAGCCCTTTAACAGTATATGCCACATGACAACTATAAAAGTAATGGATAGAGGAGCACTATTGTTGTTCTTGCTGTTCTCACGAAAACATGTTGTAACTCTCCCGAAAGCATGTGATCAACAAATATAAACAAAAGCTCTATCAAACATCCTTGACATGAGGATAAACCTCAATGATTCTTGCTAAATTTGATTTTTAATAAGGTATTATATAACTGATATCTTAGAACTTAGAACAATCAAATAAATGATTGACTACAGTTTCCCAGGAAAGTCATTATGGGGTCATTAGAAAATATGAAGCAGTGCAAAATTCAAATTCAAAAAATAGCTAATGAGCATCTGGACTTATTTATGCATCTGTTAAAACTGCTTCACTATTTATGCATGTGGCTTCTTAATAATGGGAATTGAGCCTGAAACAAATACTTTCATATATGTTCATTTTGGAAAGGTCATTACTTTAAAGCAGGTCCACTCGTAATAAAGCAGCTGAGATGCTCTAAAAAGTTCCATCAATGACTGGTAGTGTATGAATTATGTTGATTTGTATCTACAGTGAACAATCACAAACCTACTAATGGAACCACAAGAGTTGTCATACACCTATTTGAAAAACCCCAGTGCAGCTCATGAGTACACAAGAGAACAGTAATGATGTTACTGCACAAATCACAACAGAATACCATGGAGGTCTGGCCTTTTTTTTTGAGGACCTGAATGGTCATCACTGACAGTACCAATGACAGCTGAAGATTCCTGAGTATACGGACACCCAAGTATGGCTCTCAGCTGCTGTGCATTCCTCTAAGACCACAATAACAGCACTCCTAAAGCCTGGCTTAAGGGATAACACTGTTTATGTGGTGGAAACGAACCTAGTTTAAGACAACAATTATATATCTTTTTCAGCTGGAGAAGAACCTTGGTTGTTTTGGGTCAGGCGTGTAATGACGGAGAGCTGGGTAATTTGGAGGTGAGGTTTTAATACAGGGTCTGAAAAGGACAGGATGTGAATATCCACACTATCAACATCACGTCATTCTTATTGCGAGTTAAGAAAATTAATTACCTGTGACTGCTTATAAACAATGCACGTATAATAGTTTTGTTATGGACTGCATCTAAACAGAACAGCATAACTATCTATTTAAGATGAAAAGGTGTTATTTAGAAGAAATGGTAAGTAAAAATGAACCCCAGGAGCAGAGAACAATGTAAAGATTGGTGCAGTGCAGGCCCAAGACGCAGTGAAGTACACTGACATCAAATCAGTTCTGCCCAACAGTGCATCAGTACTGCATAGATGAAATGGCAAGCCATTTTAACTTTAAATTTGTTTACACTACTACAAAGCACAGATAGGCTACATGTATGCTACTATCAATATTAAATTTTAATAACAAAAATGGTAACCTAAAAAGGCAATCATCAGAATTAACTGCTTTCATACTTGTATATAAAAAATAAATGTTTAGCGTTAACATAAATATAGTATATACTAACAAACTTGTGGTATTACAAATATCAGCAAATGGGATAAATTAATTATTCACTCTTATGTAAAGAATTCCAGATTCCTATTTTTCACTGTGAATATACCAAACAAACTGTGACTGGAATTTAACACTGGGGAATTTTCTGTACTTTTACCAACAGATAATCCATGTCAATCTGTCACAAGTACCTTTTTTCTTTTGCTGCTTGTTCCTGTATTCAAACTCAATGTTGACAAGAAACTATAGTCACTGAATTTTTTATTTATTTATTTATTTTTTTTATTAGCTAATAAAATTGAATTTAAGTCAGCCACATATTTCATTTTGGGTTAACCTAACTATTAATCGATAATATTGACTATATTATATTATCCTAAATTTGTGGAAACAGACATCCCCGCTATTTTTATAGTTATCTGCAACTATTTACTGAAGTTTATTACCCTACCTGAATACAATTGTGAAAAAATATATAAATTTATTACAGATAGCATCCATCTAATTTAGCTGTACTACTTGGTCAGTTAACTTTAAAAATAGTGTGACTCATTACTTTAGTCATAATGGAACAGCTTACAAAAAAGCACAAGTTTGTATACAAGTTTAAATTAACGTCAAATCAATTAGAATAAAAATGAAAACTGGAACAGATATTAGTAAACATCTGAATAGTAAAAAATAAATAAGTGCTTGTAATGAAGCATTTCTGATACTCTTGCCATTAGAATATTTCCAAAATTCTTAGAAAATAAGCTCTAATAATAAAAAAACATATACAGTGGTTATGTTTTCAACAATAAATGATAGCTATTTAGGTTGCTGTATTAAATGTAGAAGAGATGAACCCTTAACCTATCCATAAACCTAGTCTAAGCCCAAACTCAGCAGTTAGTTCCCACACAAGAAATTACTGCAAAACAAAGTTTAACCGAGTAAATGTTATTAGGGCTTGCCATACAACAGCATGATGCCCTCCAGAATTACTGCTACAGCAAAACATTATTGCAGTTGCATCAAAAATAAACAATAAAAACTCATAATAAATAATTTAGAGAGAGCGAGGGAACAAAAGTGAGTTTCTTTTCGAAATGTCATACCTTGTGAGGTGCTTTGAGAAGTCTGTGAACTCCGGCGATCTGATTGATGAGCGGAATATCCTCTCTGAATGTGAAATGTGGGGGTCTGGTCGGCTCCGGAAAATTTGTGCTATTAAATGGATCTGTATCATCTAAGAACTGCACCCTGCATGCAAACGTAGCCATGATACATCCATACACGTCGATTTGGGAAGTCAGCACAACAACAAAAAAGTACAGCGACTAAAAAAAATCCTACGCAGGGTAAAAGTGTCAAGAATCCAGGTACGCTCCGCCTCACTCCGCTGTCCCGTGTTAGTGTTTAGTGGTTGCTATGTTTCTGCAGTAGTTTCTCGCAAGAGGAGGGCCGGTAATATCCAAGGGCATGTCGGGCAGGCAAGGTGCTGAGGCAGACTGCCGCAGACGGGACGGGACATCTAGAGCCTGTCTAAATGTCTACAGCGATGCAGTACGTGAGCGGGACAAGGGACTCCCTCCGTTTGCATCACTCAAGGTATGAGGGCGAGAGCCGGAGTTTTGGCGTCACCTAACGTTGAACTTTATATCGCATCACGATGATGCTTTGTTGATTATTTTTCCAACGAATATTGTGCAAAAACAATCCTGAAAATGTTCATTTACTGTTCATTCCCTGTGAAAACTCGTACTATACATTTAAAAGCAGGACTTACACTAGTTTATGTGAAATAACAAAATGAATGGACTCATTTTTTTACTTTGAACTTGTTAGGCGTTTAAATATATTACTACGGTGGTCGAGAGGATGGACATGTCGAGGCCTATTTTAGAGGGGCTGTAGCGCCGCTATATTTCTACTCAGCCCCCCTAAAACTTTTGCGATTAGCTCATATAAAGTTACCGTACACTAATTATCGCCTCCACCATCTTTCAATGGGGTATATGCCGAAGCATGCTAATAGGACTTTTAATTTGCCAGTAACCTGGGTTAAGCGCTTCCGGCGAATTGAATGCCAATGCAAAATCCGGTGCGTTTAAGGTCTGTTTTCTTTAAAAATCAGCGATCTCCACTAGCTGAGTGACATCCGATTATAGTGCGTCTCAGATTGTACAAGAAGCACTGCATTAAATTACATTTCCCCCGCCATATCTTTATAATATGAGCATTTATTTTACCCCAGTATATTCAATGGAGCATCTGCGTTAGCCTGCCGATTCTGATGTGCGGGTGCGAGTAAACAGCGTTTGTCTCGTTTTACGCTTGAGCAACCAAATAAATGCTAAAGTTTATTTAACTGAATGTATTTTAATGACATTACAACATCGATGCTGTATAAGGAACCGTATAAAATGGAAAAAAGTTCACAATAACAGGTCACCGGAATTGTATCAGCATGGGAACAGCACTAGCTCGACATATACCCTATTTGATATGAAAATGGCCGCAGAATTCGGCTTCTCTCCATCTTTTGTTTTTCATTTTCAGCAAACCACAACCGTGGACAGCAAAAGAATGAGGTGTGTGTTTATCAATATTTTTTATAATATCTGCTTATTTTAATATAGATAACCTTCTATCACCTGGATTAAAATGTCATAAAGGAGCCATTTCTCAGCCTTCACCTCAGCACAGCTTCCTCCAGCAAAAAACGAAACTCTTAACAAACATTTCGCTATTTTCATTTTTATATTGAACTACCAATATTAAACACTTTGCAGTTCGCATGGCATTAACTATACCATACAGTCTTGCACAAAAATAATTAAACACAGTGACAGAACCACTTAGAGCATGTACTAGTTTTAACTGTCACTGAGTCACTGACAGAGATAGAAACATTAAGTGTTGTCTAGTATTAAAAATACTTCTAATTTATTATTATCATTTAGATTGTGAAATATGTAAATAAGCCTGTAAGTTTAAAAATATATATTTATATATGTTGTTTATTTAGAAAAGTTGCAGTTTATTTATTTAAAGGGCTCCTATGGTGAAAAATCCACTTTTCAAGCTGTTTGTACAGACATATGTGTAGGTATAGTGTATAGACAGTCATATTGAGTTGATATAAACACACCCAGTTCTTTTTTTTATCAATTTAACAACATAAAAACGGTGGACCAATTGAAACAGTTTTTAGACCGACCGCAACTAAGTGCGGTCCCCCTGCCCACCGAATTGATTGACAGCTGTAGTGATGTGCGATACCACTGGTTTCCTATCCGATACGATACCAAGTAAAATGAAGGTGAGTATCGACAATATCGATCTGATACCGATATTTTGCCCAAAAAATACTGTTTGGGAATTTAAAGTAACAAGTAGTGTACTTAAGTGTCACTTAATACTGAATACGAGACATATTACGGGTTATTCCTGCTTTTTGATGAAAAATTCTTATACAAAAAAGAGCCAAAATACATTTTTTTTGACAGCAACTGAGCTTGAATATCTTAAAACGCCTGCCTGAACATCTTAACATAAAACATTCACACTTTTAATTTAATTTAATTATAATTAGCTCAGGGACACATTTTACTCCAAGGTGAACTATTGCAGAAATTTGATAATTGAATCATTTCATTATTTATTTCATAACCAAAGCTCTAAACAAAATAGTTTTAAGAATTCAGGGAACTGCAGTTGTTTTATCATTGTCACAATATTTTTCTGTAATAAATCATGGTTAATTTTTCTTACTCGATCTTAGTTAATTAACAAAACATGTATTTATTTTCTATTTTTAATTTAAGTCATCACCTGGGATTAGGACAGGTAACTGATGTTACTGTATATAAAATAATAACTATCAGACATAAAACACCTGAGATCAGGACATGTATCTGATGTTAAATACAATAAAGGTGATCATAGCCTACATGAAACACCTGGGATCAGGACAGGTATCTGATATTGACTGATATAAAAGGGATCATACACGAAACACCTGAGATCAGGACAGGTATCTGATGTTAAATACAATAAAGGTGATCATAGCCTACAAGAAACACCTGGGATCAGGACAGGTATCTGATATTGACTAATATAAAAGTGATCATACACGAAACACCTGAGATCAGGACAGGAATCTTATGTTAACTAATATAAAGTGATCAGACATGAAACACCTGAGATCAGGACAGGTATCTGATGTTAACTAATATAAAGTGATCAGACATGATTTGAAACACCTGAGATCAGGACAGGAATCTTATGTTAACTAATATAAAGTGATCAGACATGAAACACCTGAGATCAGGACAGGTATCTGATGTTAACTAATATAAAGTGATCATACATGAAACACCTGAGATCAGGACAGGATAGCTGATGTTAATGTATATGAAGTGATCATACATGAAACACCTGCAGATCAGTTGATTCATCCGCGCTCAGCAGTGCTTCAATGTTAGTGGAAATGGACGGATTTAAAGCTTTAGTACCAGGAAAACACTACAACACGAGGATGTGCTACAGAAGACTACAGTGTTTTATCGCTCACCGGGTTACATAGGCGGATCAGGAAAGCGTCCCCACGGTGTTTAACTGCTGCCATGAGCTGAAGCCTAGGAGGGCACTTAAGCATATTACTCTTAAATAGATTGTGATGTTGTTTGATGCTAAATTGCTTTTAATTCTTTAAATTAAACTTAACTGTGTTTACACAATTTCTGCATTTTAAAATCTCGGCAACTACTGGAGGTTTGTAGTGCACAGCATGTTACTGCAATGTTTACAGTGCTGGTCCTATATTTCCGGGTTTCTTCCCACCGCAGCCTCTCTTTAGTTCTTTAAAATGGCGGACGTGTGAAATAAGCGTATAGGCCTTTTTCACGGACGGTCGAACGCACATGTGGTAGAGTGATGGTTGCGTATCGATACTTCCGGTCAGAGCAATAGAGTGAGATATGCTATTTTAATCTGATTTACAAACTTGTTGGAAGAACCAAATTACCCAGAGATCATTATCAAGATTAATAGATCCTGGATCTGACAAATCAATAAACTGATCTGAGGTCGCTGCGTGTGTAGTGAAGAACAGATCTATCGATCCTCAAAATCATGATTAGCATGATTAGCGGAATGACATCTTCTGATTATTATTCAATTACCCATGTGAGCAAAATTACATGAAACTAGCAGTAAATAGTTAAGTATGACATGCAATAACTTTCCACATTTTTTGTGAGCTGCAGGCTTTACCCTTTCATGTGTCAGGAGTATTCATCATGTATTTCAGTGCACATCAATGTATTTAGTTCTACATTTAGAAAAGATTTTCTTAATTATAGTAGCCTAGGTCTACTCAAGTTTTTTTTTTTTTTTTAATCGGTGTAAGGAATAACTGTATAAATTAATTTTGCATCAAAAAAGCATTTTGATATCAGTAAAGGTATCAATCACCGGCATATTATTGATCAGAACACGTGCATGACTGCATAAATTAATATCCTTTTTAAAGTTGAACATTGTGCTTGCACGCGTTTGCATCTAAAAAGTTCATATCAGTAAATTTTCACTTTGAACCACCAGATGGCAGTCTTTTACTTTTATTTCGTAGTGCAGCTTGCATAAGTTTTATTAATTTATATATATATTTAGCTTTATATATATATATATATATATATATATATATATATATAAAACTTTATATATATATAAAATTGAAGAACGAAACGACCCTGGATCAGGTCAAATCGTCATTATCTAAATCTGGCTAATTGAGTAATCCAGATATGAAGAACAGACCCCTGATCTAATTCTGTTTATATTATGTGTCAAGAGCATTTTATTTAGTTTTACAGTTAGAGTGGATTTTCCTTATTATAGTAGCCGTTGATGTTTACAAAAGCATTTTGATATTGGTAAAGGTGTCTGCAACTTTTGTGAAGCATCAAATCACCGGCATATTAACTGCCAAAACATGTTTATGACTGCATAAATGTATTATTGCTTTTTAAAAAAAGTCACATATTGTGCATTTCTATTATCATACACAAATTGTACAAAAGTGATCTAAAAAGTTCATATCAATAAGTTTTCTCTTTGCACCACCAGGTGGCAGTCTTGGTACTTTTATTTCAGGGGTGTAGATTACCATGCTTAGCCACAACCTGATACCAGGGCATACCCAATGCATAACCAAGATGACTACTGTAGTTATGGCCCAAACCAGCCACAGATGGCTTATCGTGCCACCCAACCTGTTCTAATGCCTCACAAACAGTTAGAAAGGATACAGCCACACAATCCAATAAGAAATTTTGTCTCTGCTGGCCGCCCACCCCCTGCTAGAGAGAGCACCTACAGAGGCCCCACACCCTCTATACCTGATTTCACATCAGAAGACCCACGACAATTCGCACGTTTAAAGATATCTCTTGAGAATTTGCTACCACTAGATGCTATGGAGCAGTTCAAATATCAGATTCTTTTGGAGCATTTGAAAGTTGAGGAAGCTCTTCTTATAGCTGACTCATACAGTAACTCCCCTTATCCTTACTCATACACCATGCAATCTCTGACTGAACACTATGGACAGCCCCACCAGCTGGCATTACAGAGAATTGCCGAACTGATGGAAGGCCCCAACATGCGAAGTGGAGATACCCAGGCTTTTAGGAGGTTCGCTCTAAGAGTAAGAGCATGGGTGGGGATGCTCGACCAGCTAGGTGACAAAGGAAGTATTGAACTTCAGTTTGGCTTACACGTAGCTAGACTCATGTCCAAACTGCCCCATGATCTTCGAGCAAATTTCAAAAGGTACGTCCACCCACTCAGAAACCCCATACCTAACCTGTTAGATTTCTCAGACTGGCTCGAGTTTGAATTGCAGGTGCAGCCCACAGACAGTAGAGTTCA